ACCTCGTGCGCACCCCCTGTGGCGTCGAAAAAAACGCCACGCCTGCCGTGCCCTGGACGACCGTCACGGATAGCGGCCACCCTCAGGGACCACCCCGTGCGCACCCCCTGTGGTGTCGAGAAGACGCCACGCCTGCCGTGCCCTGGACGACCGTCACGGACAACGGCCGCGCTCAGGGACCACCCTGTGCGCACCCCCTGTGATGCCGAGAAAACGCCACCCTGCCGTGCCCTGGACGACCGTCACGGATAGCGGCCGCGCTCAGGGACCACCCCGTGCGCACCCCCTGTGGCGTCGAGAAAACGCCACGCCTGTGCCCTGGACGACCGTCACGGATAGCGGTCGCGCTCGAGGACCAACCCGTGCTCACCCCAGGTGGTGTCGAGAAAACGCCACGCCTGCTGTGCCCTGGACGACCGTCACGGATAGCGGCCGCGATCAGGGACCACCCCCTGCGCACCCTCTATGGTGTCGAGAAAACGCCACGCCTGCTGTGCCCTGGACGACCGACACGCATAGCGGCCGCCCTCAGGGACCACCCCCTGCGCACCTCCTGTTGGCGCGCATGGTTTGCGTTGTGTGCGTGTCATGTGTTTGTGTGTTTGCGTGCTTGCGTGTGTGTGTATGCTGTGCTGTGCTGTGCAGTGCTGTGCTGTGCTGAGCTGTGCTGTGCGGAGCTGAGCTGTGCTGTGCTGAGCTTTGCTGTGCAGAGCTGGTCTGTGCTGCCCTGTGCTGTGCTCTACTGTGCTGGGATGTGCAGTGCTGTGCTGAGCTGAGCTGTGCTGCGCTGAGGTGCTATGCTGTGCTGTGCAGTGCTGTGCTGAGCTGAGCTGTGCTGTGCTGAGCAGAGCTGAGCTGTGCTGAGCAGTGCTGTGCTGTGGTGTGTACGTGCTGTGTGTCAATGTGCTGTGTGCTGTGCTGAACTGTGCTGTGCTGAGCCGTGCTGTGCTGTGCTGCGCTTCGCTGCGCTGCGCTGTGCTGCGCTGTGCCGTGTGAGAGGGAGAAGAAGGAGGGGTGAGGAGGAGACGGGGATGCGATGCGGGAAGGAAGAGGACCAGAACCCCACACAGCATGTGGGGAACACATCAATCAATCGATCCGCCAATCAATCGAAAATCACTCTCACCACCATCATCAGCATCATCATCAGCATCATCATCGTCATCATCATCACTACCAGCATCATCATCAGCGTCGTCATCCTCCTCATCATAGTCATCATTACCACCACCATCAGAGTCACCATCATCATGAACAGCATCATCATTAGTATCATCATCATCATCAGCAGCATCATCAACAACATCATCATCATCATCATCATCATCATCATCATCAGTTTCATCATCATGGTCATCATCATCAGTATAAGCACCAGCAGCATCATCATCATTAGCAGCAGCAGCATCACCGTCAGCATCATCAGCAGCATCATGATTATCATCAGCAACAGCATCATCGTCGTCGTACCCGTCGGCGGCGGCCCGCGATTTCGATTCCATGCTGCTGGAGAGGGCTCGACTGACCATCCTTTCCAGCCCGCCTCCCCACCGCCGTGACACTCTGTCACACCAGCGCCCCTCTAGTCACCACAACACCGTGCGCAGGAAGCCGCTTGCGCCGTCCGTGGGGAACGTGACCTGAGCACCTCACCGATCCTGGCCAGGCCCATCCTGGGCCCAGGATCGGTGTGCACAGCCATCGTGCTACAATCAGGAACACTGAGTGAGGAGCGAAGGATTTTTTGTCCGACCACGGCGAGCCTCGGCCACCAATCTGTTCCCCGACCTGGATCTGAGGAACGGCCCGAAAACCAGAGCCCCTCCAGAGCCCGAGGTGGTCCTTATCTCAGCGCCTTGGCTGTGTGCGACCCCCCCCCTGGCTCGGACAGGGCGGCATATGCACTAACCCGGGGCCTTGTCATCGGCCCGGGGGCCCCAACGGTGCGATGACCACACCGTGTGGTTGCACGGTTTCCCCCGGGGCCGTAGGCGACTCGAGGAGGAGGAGGAGGAGGAGGAGGTGGAGGAGGGGGAGGGGGAGGAGGAGATGGAGGAGGAGGAGGAGGAGGAGGAGGAGGTGGAGGAAGAGGAAGAGGAAGAGGAGGAGGAGGGAGGAGAGGAGGACGGAGAGGAGGGGACGGAGGAGGAGAGGAGGAGGAGGAGGAGGAGGGGAGGAGGAGGAGAGGAGGAGGAGGGGTCGCCTAAGCCCTTCGAAGAAACCCTCCACCGCAACGGTGCGATGACCACACCGTGTGGTGAGTCCGTGGGGGCTCGGGGTGACCGCGCGCTTTGGGGACTCGGGCCGCTCTCCGCGGATGTCTCGCGCGGCTTGGGCCTCCGAGGTACCGAGACCGTCCGGTGACGGACAGTGCGGTGATGTGGGGCGAGGCGTAGGAGGAGGAGGGGGGCGGAGGAGAAGGAAAGGGAGGAGGGGGCCCGAGGAGGAGGAGGGACAGGAGGGAGGAGGAGGAGGAGGAGGAGGAGGAGGAGGAGGAGGAGGAGGAGGAGGAGGAGGAGGAGGAGAGGAGGAGGAGGAGGAGGAGCGAGGAGGAGGAGGAGGAGGAGGAGGAGAGGAGGAGGAGGAGGAGGAGGAGGAGGAGGAGGAGGAGGAGGAGGAGGAGGAGGAGGAGGAGGAGGAGGGAGGAGGCGACGAAGGACAGAGGACGGGGACGGAGGACGGAAGACGTAGAGGAGAGAAGAGAAGAGGGAGAGGGAGAGGGAGAGGGAGAGGGAGAGGGAGAGGGAGGGAGGAGGAGAGGAGAGGGAAGGAGAGGAGGAGGAGGAGGAGGAGGAGGAGGAGGAGGAGGAGGAGGAGGAGCAGCAGCAGCAGCAGCAGGAGGAGGAGGAGGAGGAGGAGGAGGAGGAGGAGAGGGGGGAAGAGGAGAGGGAGGAGGGGGGCGGAGAGGAGAGGACGAGGACGAGGACGAGGACGAGGATGAGGGGGAGGAGGAGGAGGTGGCCAGCTGACGTCCCCCCATCGTTCGGGCGACGAGGGAGGCCGCAGGCCCCGACGCGGGGAGCGCCAGGATCGCCCGCCGCCGCGGATCGGCCCAAGACAAATTCGCCGGCCCAACGGGCCAGAGGCGTGCTAAGATCTCCAGTAACTGGTTAACAATTCTCTAGTTCGCGCGCGCGGGGCGGCCCCTGGGGGTCCCCGGACGAAAATGACCCCGGGCGGGTCCCGGCTGATCCCCGGGCGACTCCACCAGAGCGCTCCATGAGCGCACCAACAGGGCTCCGAGACGTCCCCGAGAGCCCCAAGAAAGGCCAAGAGGCCCCCAAGAGGCCCCCAAGATGGTACACGAGGGGTCCGACATGCCACAAGATCGCTCCAAGACGCCCAAGATAGCCCCCAGACGCCCCAAGAGGCCTCCAAGAGCACTCCCAAGAGGGCCCCAGGAGGCAAAATTCATTGCTTTTCCTTAGGTTTTTGAAAGATTTTGGAGCTTCCACCTTTTCGGCTTCCCGACGCCCCAAGACGGCCCAAGAGGCCCCCAAGATCGCCCCAAGAGGGCCCAAGAGGCCCCCAAGAGGGCCCCAAGATGGCCCAAGAGGGCTCGAAGACGGCCCAAGAAGCCTCCAAGACGGTCCAAAAGGGCCCCAAGAACGCCCCCAAAGGGGCCCCAGAGAGGGAACACGAAACAACATTTCGAGCCCTCGGCCCTAAGAAGCCCCCACGAGGCCCCAAGAGGCCCCTAAGAGGCCCCAAGAGGCCCCCACGAGGCCCTCAGGAGGCCCCCAAGAGTCCCCCAAGCGGCCCCAGGAGGCCCCCCAAATGCCCCCCCGAGCACGCAAGCAAGTGCAAGCGATGCTACAATGTGCTCTCCTTTCGGTAGACTCCCAACGGGGCCCCTACAGACTTGCAACAAGCGTCAAGAACCTGCCCAAAAAGCACTGTCCAGGAGCGTTCACAAGTGCCGCGAAGAAGCCCTCCTTACGCCGGAAAGCCCGGAAAGCCGGGTGGGGTGAGCTGTTCTTCTCACCACCGCGCCCTCTCACACAATGGCTTCCGCACGCCGCCCAGAGCGCGACGTTCGGCTCATGCCCCCAGAACGCTCCAGGAGCGCGCCAAAACGGCACCGGAACGCCCCCGAAACAATCCAAGCGGCCTCAAGTCGCCGAACAATCGTTCCAAATCGCCCAAGATGACCTCAAAATTGCCGTCGAGGCCGCCAAGAAGCCCCAAGAGAGCCTCAAGAGGCCCTCCAAGACGGCCATTACAATCAAAAATCGTCCCATTCCCAGAGGAACATGTACACTTCCCGCATGAACGGCGTTTCGAGTTTCACAGCGCCTCAGACTACACAAATAGCCCCCAACATCGCCCCGAGACAGCCCAACAATCCGCTAAAATCGGCCCAAGACGGCCCAAGATAACCCCAAGACGGCACAAGAGAGCACCAAGACCGCCCAAGAGGCGCCCAAAGGGGGATTCTGCCCCTAGGAGCACCTCAGAAGCCACCAACATCCCGCCAATAAGTCCCCCAAGACGCCCCAAGAACCACCCAAGAAGCCCAACAAGAATCCCCAACGACCCCCAAACGGCCCTTACGGGGCCTCAAGAGGCTTCAACACTGCCTCCAAGAGGTCCCCGAGACGCCTGGCAAAAGAACCCCCAAAGCGCCGCATTGACACCAGGCCCTCGGGCAAACGGCAGACATGAGACTGTACCCTCCTCCTCCTCCTTCTCCTCCTCCTCCTCCTCCTCCTCCTCCGGCCTTCTGAGCCCTCTGAGAAGGCCCGCCCCTTCCAACGTGCCCCCTGGGCCCGCCGCCGGATGGTGAGCCGGAGGCTCCGGAGGATGTGTCGGGCGTCGCGCCCGTTCCAGAGTGACCGGGACCGCTCGGGGGCGACTTTGTCCTCGTCCTGTGCCCGCCTGAGTGGGGACGTCGTCAGCGGTTGCCGCCGTCGTGGTCGCGATCGTCGTGGTCGCCGTCGCTGCCGTCGCCGTCGCCGTCGCACGAAGGGGACGTGGGACCCTTTCTCGTGCGAGGGGGCCTGCGCAAGGACCTCTTCGTGCAGATCCTGGCACGGCTGAAAGCACTCCTGTGAAAAGCGGGGCAGCCGAGTCCAGCGGGAAAGTCGCGAGCGAGGCGAGAGGATGCAGGCGACATCGTTGAGCACCCAAGTTATGCACTGCGGTGTCTGCGCTCGCCCGACTGGTAAGCTGCGAAGCAATAGCACATCGGGCAGCTTTGCAAAGAGACCGTGGGTCCGACATGGAATCCGCCGACCCGCGCTTGCTGGGGTTGACCAGGCGTGCTGGACATTCGGCTGGCTGTCCCCCTCCCCCTTCCCCCCTCGGGTCCAAAATGCCACTGGAGGCCCGCCCCAGGCCCATGAGCTCGTCAACCCTCCTCCTGGGGCAGCCCCCAAACGGCCCAAGAGGGCCCAAGTAAAACGCCTGGGGCTCTGGAGCCTCCGGAGACTGGAGAGCCCCCAAACTGCCCAAGAGGGCCCAAGCAAAACGCCAAGCCGGCCCAGGGTAGCCCCACGACGGGCCAAGCTTTGCTCCAACGCGGCACCACGGCCCCACCGCGTGATGCCACTCAACCGGCACAGTGAAAAAGGACACGCACCGCCACCAGAAGAAGGGCGCGAAGCGAGCCTGATGCCTCTGCGGCTGCCTCTCGGAGCGTGGGAGGAGAAGAAGAGTGCGGGCAAGCATTATTGAAGGGGCCCCTGGACACACACACACACACACATATATATATATATATATATATATACACATATATATTAGATATATACACACAAATAAACATACTCCCCATATTTTCCCATATGTTCTGGGTTTCTGTCTTCCCGCCCACTTCCATATTTTCTCATATTTTCTGGGGAATCGGGGGTTAATTGTGTCTGTGTGTTTCTTTTCCTCCTGAATTATATCCACATCCAGGGCGTCTTGGACTTTCGTGGAGGGGGCGCCGCAAAGCCGAGGCGCACTGGATATGGATGAAATTCGAGCCTCTAGTAGGGGCCAGACTTTAATTCCATATCCAGTGCGCCTCGGCTCTCTGGGGAAGGAAGCCCGAAACTCCAAGCTACAGTGGACACAATTTTTGCCCGAAAAGAGGAGGGACAGAGCGGGCAGGCAAAAGCACTGAGCGCGCTGCGGCGGCAGCCGGCAGCCCTGGATTGCCATTTAGCTTCCACGCCGAGCGCACGAACTATGCGAGAAGCCCCCGAGATGCCCCCAAGTGCCCTTCAAAAGGCCCAACCTGGGGGGTCGGCTGGATGGCGTGAGCCATTTGAATATACGCGCCCAACCACCCGGCAACCACGAGCTGAAGCGCAGCAGGGGCACACACGCGCGCGCACTACGCACTACTATGCCTTCCCCTGCTATTCTGATTCACGAGCCCGCCGCCGCCACCGCTCGTGTCCATCGCGCCTGTCTCTTGCTCATCCTCCTCCCCCTCCCCTCTGAGCTCTGCCACCTGCCAAGCGACCCCCTCGCGTGACGGCGTCGCACCTCGACTCCAAACGGCAACTGGCGACTCCACGGATGCTGCCGTCGAGCAGGACAAGCCCTGGGCCATGGACCTCCCGCGAGAAGTCCAGAGCACCGTCCGCCGGTGCCGCTGCTGGTCGCGCCTCGTGCACGGCGCCCGTCGTGCGCGGCCCGCCGTGCCGGTCCCTGCCGGGCCCGACTGCGCGCGGAGACCGGTGGTTCTCCTCCCCCGTGTTTGACTACCTACCAGACCACCCCAACCCAACCCGAAGACCCGAATTTCGGGTTGGGGGGGGTAAGGGTTCCACTCGTGTTTTTTCGACGTTTCCCGACCCCCCCCCACTGGAAATCGAGGGTAAATCTGAGCCTTCGGGTTGGGTTGGGGTGGTTTGGTGGGTGGTGATGTTCTTCCCCTGCAGCAACCTCACCCCGCACGGCCGAACCGTGAGCGCCGAGCTTGCGCCGAGCCCAGACACCAAGCCGCCGAGTGGACCGCCCCGTTGGGTAGCCTCGGCGCTGCAGCGGGAAGCCCAGCGGCTCGCTGACCGAAGGAGAAGGCAGCGCAGACCAGGTTGGTCTGTCGAGGCCTCGTGGCAATGGGTACGTCCTCCTTCGCGCCTTGCCCGCCCAGGTCGCTGAAGGAGGAACACTGGGCCACCGACGCGAACACCAGCGTCCGCCATGTGGGGCGGGCGAACGTCGCCCAACAACGAATCTGGCGTCGTCACATCAAGAGGCTTGAAGCCGGTGACTCTAACCGTGTCTATTCCAAGCGGTGGTGCTGCGCGCGGCTGGCAAGGCCTGCTGCCCTGCAGGCCGTGCAAATACACCGAGAACAAGACGAGCTACTGCATGTGATCTTGGAGGGCTTTCTCAGGGTGTGTTCTGACGAGGATTCGGCGGCAAGTCCAGCAATGCCGGCGATGGCCCCCGAGGCTCCGAGGGAGCCCAGAAAGGCAGAACAAGGGAAAGGTAACGGCATCAATGTCCTGTCCTCCTCTGATGGAGAAACAGAACAAAGCATAAACATACAATGTCGGAAGTCCGCGCGGATTTTTTGGATCGGCGCTCGACCCCATCCATAGCGCGCGGAGCGCGCCAAGGGCGGCGCCGAAAGCGCCGCCAGGGGGGGCAAAGCGCCGACCCGAGAGATCCGCAAGGAACTCCGAAAGAGTTCTCCGCGAAAAGACAGAGGGCGAGGAAAGGCAGCGAGGATGGGGCGGTGCCTTCACCATTCAAGAACTGGCCTGAAAGAAAGGGAGAGGGCGAAGAAGAGGGGAAAGAGGAACTCCGAGAGTTTACCACGCCAGAGCAATTCTCGCTCACAAACATAGAACAAGACATACAACATGAATAAAACATGAAAAGATATGTGCAATTATGAATGTACACAGACACCCTCCGATGAACTTTGCATGTGCCTTCAAGGAGGGCGGCGGTGTATCAAGTCGCTGGCTCTCAGCAGTCACTTATACGCCGCCACTCTCCCCGTGAGGCCCGGGAGCAGTCCAGTTGGGGGGGCGCCTGCGCACATGTTTCTGCGGCGGGCCTCTGTTCATGCATGTGCTCTTCCTCGAAGTCCCGCACCGCTTCGCCGCGACTCCCGGCCAGTCCGCCTCCTGCCTCCCCTGCCCCTCGGGCAGCGGCCCCTCCTCGAAGTGCTGCAGGAAGCGGCGCCCGTACACGGCAGGGGGCACCGTGGCCTTCTGCGGCTCGCAGACCTGGCGCGCGGCGCGCGGAAGGGCTCGGCGACTTCTGCCGTCCCTGGGCTCGCGGTGGAGCGGCCACGAAATGCGGCAAATGGCGCGGAAGGCCTTCGGATTCACGTGGATCTGCGACGATCTGCCTTGGTGCACCTCGACGTACCTGCACGTGCCTCGACTTGTCCGGCGTGATCCCCACGAGTCGGGTGGCGAGAAGTCGTCAAGCCCTGCAGGGGCTGCGAGAGCTGGCGCGCGGGCTGGGAAGAGAAGGCGAGCCTGCTGGTGCTGCTCCTCCTCCTCCTCCTCCTCCTCCTCCTCCTCCTCCTCCTCCTCCTTCTCCTCCTCCTCCTCCTCCTCCTCCTCCTCCTCCTCCTCCTCCTCCTCCTCCTCCTCCTCCTCCTCCTCCTCCTCCTCCTCCTCCTGCTGGTGCTGCTGCTCGGCAGTGCGGCCAGGGCCGAGGTCCGGGCGCTGCCGCCTGCGCACGCCGGGCGGTGCCGGCCCCGCGTCGGGCCCCATAGGGCAGCGCAGGTCGGTCCGGCTCGAGCAGTGCCGCAGGGCGACCGGGTGCGGGGCTCTGGTCGCGATTTTGTCCGCGGTGTCGCGAGATTCTCACAGCGTCGGATCCCAGGGGACGCCGCTGGCATGCGATGGGCATGCGGCCAAGAAGGATCCCTCGTGGCACGCTTGTCGGCGAGTCTATCGACAGTCCGTCTCGGGTGGCCTCGCCCCACGTGCCAACCTGCACAAGACCTTGGAAATTGTGGGGGGCAGTCTGTTAGCAATTCCACCCATCATATTTGTCTGACAAGGAAGACTTGGACCCAAACAGACCAGTCAAGAGTTGCCTGAGCTCCACGGGACGAGCCGAAAATCGAATCAACATAAACGTCAGGAGATCCGCGCGGATTTCCTGAGTCGGAGCTGGACCTACCTCCACTGACGCCCAGGGTGAGGCCAAGGCCGACCCAAGAGATCCTCGCAAACCTCCAAACGTTTAAATTTACAGTCGATTCCCTCCCGTGACGCCCAGAGTGAGGCCAGCGCCGACCCACGAAATCCGCGCAAACCTCCGAACGTTTTATGTTTACAGTCGATTCAAGGCCACAAGAAAACTGTTCAAGAACACGAGCCCCTGTGCCGAAGGCACCAACGCTATGTGGAGGCACCCGAAGCGAAGAGCTTGCCAAGGTGGAGAGCCCAAACGCGAAGAACATAAGAACATAAGGGTACCCTTCCTCCTCCGCCTCCTCCTGCTGCTCCTCCTCCTCCTCCTCCTCATCGGATAACCTTCCAAGGCTATGGTTGCTGGTCACCATCGTGCCAGCTGTATGCCGCTCGGCCAGTCGGTCCACAGCAGATTACAGCCGAAAACAGAACAACCCCAGATAAATAACATGTCAGAAACCTGGGACAGCTTTCTGGAAGCTTATTCGAACAAGCCAAGGCCAGCTGTGTTGCTAATGTTGACACTGGAGGGGCGAGCGTGCTCGAGAAACTGAACCAGCTTTCTGGCGAGCTGGCGAAGAGACGTTGGCCATCGGGAGGAGGTTTCTTAATCGGATGCTCGACTGTAATTCAAATGGCGATTCGTAACGCGTCGCCACGGCATCGCAGTGCCACCAGACATGCCATGAGGGCATCGGCAAAGGCTGGCTTCTCTGCCGACGCCTCGTAGAAAAACGGAGCCATCGAACCCGGTAGCCTGCACTGGCACTGTGACAGAATACATTAAGACTGGCCGGTTCTGGAAATCCTGGATCAAACATGTAGGCATATCGCTTTTATTGCAGCCGCCTAGGCCTTCAGCCGGTTGTCCCGCCGACGTGTTACTTCCGCCAGCTTACGCCTGCCTTCCGCCTGCCTCCAGCGAAGAAGAATTGCCACCTCTGGAGACATGCAAGGCGAGGCCATTTGTAGAACGCCCCTCACGAGTAAAGAAAGCAGGAATTGTCGGAGAAGTACACATTTCTCAGCAGTGCAGGCTGCCTGTATGAGCAATTGTCAAAGTGCTTTTCTGTAATATCTGCATGCGTACTGGCGTGCTTACAACGAAAATGCGTTTGCGAAATGCATCCGCAAAACAAGTCCTGCATGATGGCAGGCAGGACGCTCACGATCTGATCAAGAACGCAGGCGTGTTCACGGTACGCGCGAACGACGGCGGATGCGCTGGCATAATCTTCTAGAAGCTAGAAGCGGCAGGCATCTATAGATTCTGACAACACGAGGACTGGACAAGAAAAAAGGGGTGATAAGACAATCGAGCAAAAAGCACTGCTGTGCATATTCCCCATGAAAGCAACTTGATAATCCCCTATCTGGTACAACATATCCCCGTATCTCTCTTGTTTCAAGCGAGCCCCGGGAACGGCACGACAGGCAGCCAAATCGCAGCCCCCCTCCCGGCAAAAACTACATCCTTCAAAGAACATGCACATCCTCCGGCCCCGCCCGCATGTGTGAGGGGGAGTCCTTGCCTTTGCATGCTCTTGCATGCTCTTGCATGCTCTTGCATGCTGGCTAATTCGTTACAGCGGCTCTTCCCTTTAGCTCATGCTGCTAGCGCAGACGACCCCTGCCTCGCCGCCGACGGAGAAAAAAAGAGGGGGAGCCCTGGAGGACGCTCTTCAGTCCCGAGCTCTCCGCGCCTGGTCCCTGCGGCCACCTGGGGCTCTCTAAGCTCGCCTGGCCGACGTGTACTGGACGAGGTGCACGAGGACGCTTCTTCAGTCCCAAGCTCTCCACCGCCGCCTGGGGCTCTCTGAGCTCGCCTGGACGAGGTGCACCGGCCCAAGCCGCCAGAAGTCGAAGGGAAGCCTCTTCCCCGTGATCCCTTCCTCTCTGGGCGCTGGGGGGTGGTCCCCCGGGGGGTCCCAGGAGGAGGAGGAGGAGGAGGAGGAGGAGGAGGAGGAGAAGGAGGAGGAGAAGGAGGAGGAAAAGGAGGAGGAGAAGGAGGAGAGAAAGGAGGAGGAGGAGGAGGAGAAGGAGGAGTAGACGTAAGGAGAGGGACCCAGGGGGCAGGTCCAAGGAGGGGCGGCCAGGGGAGGGGGCTGCGCCTCCCCGACCTCGCCTCCCGTTTTGAGCGACTCGGGCGATCTTGGTACACGTTGGGTCACCAAGGTCCGCTAGAGTCACGTTGTTCCCATCGTACCTGTAAGGACCACATCCAAGAAATAGTTCCGAGCACCCAGAAAACTATCGAATCAGCGTCTGTCCGACACCCGGGCGCAGTGTCGAACGACAATCGCCTCCCAGGACGCGGCACCTGAAAACTTTTCAATTTCGGCACTTCCCTGGTGCTCGACATTCTTTCTGGTGAGCATAGGCTGGGACAACATAATGCTAGAGCCCTCTCGGGGCAAACTTCGGCGCGCTTGGGAGTCTCGCGGGCCGTACTGGAGGTCCCGGGTGCTGGGCTGGCACAAGAGGCCAAAATCGGCCGAATCCCTTCTGGCTCTTCTGTGCGATCTGGACAGTACCGCTGCATGGGTCGCAAGAGCCTCCAAGAGGGCCCAAGAACCCCCAAAAACTACCCCAATGTGGCCCAAGAGGCCCACCACAGGGGCCTAAGAGGCACCCAAGAAGGCAGGCGCAACAAAAAACGCCACCAGCGCACCGCTGGAAGCCAGCCCCTCCAACACGATCTGAAGACCCCCAGGAGGACCAGGAGAGGCCCCGAGACGCACCCCAGTGGGCCACAAAGGCCCCCAGGAGCCCTCCAAGAAGCCCCCCAGCATCCTCCCAAATTGAACGCATGAAAACCGCCCCCCGCCCCCACCATGAGGAACTTTACAGTCGGGGCGTTGACCTGAGGAACCCTAAATAAGGAACGAGGCCCCTTTTTTCCATAAGTTTAACTTCGATTTCCGATCGAAAACATAAGGAAAACCTGAGGCAAGCTGCGAAACACTTAAGGAACGCGGAGCCCCTCCCCAACGAAAAGGGTTCCTTCTTCAGGGCCCCGACTGTAGACCAATTGGACCGCGCGCGCGGCACCTGGAACACGCACCAGGCGCAGTGGCGAGTTGCGCAGAGCACCAGCAGATGTTCGCCCTCGCATCAGAGCCGCCACCGCCCCTTGCCCCCGCCCCTGCAATGAAAAGCAGGTTCATGCTACGACCCGACAGTGATGTAGACGTGAATGGATACGATGGTTGTGTTTCTGTTGTCTCTGTGCCGTGGCCCTCGCAATCACGTGCCCCGACGTTGTGCGCCGGCCTGTGTTTGACATATCGTCTTGTCTGTAGCTCAGCCCGGCTTGAGCACCGGCCTAAAGCTTGTGATTGCGAATTCGGCCCCCGTCCACTCCGCCTCTTGCGCCCGATCTGTTCTCTTCTCAGGGACGGTGGGAAAAGCCGCAGGGCCTCTGAAATGATTACGTGCAACGCTCCTTCCTGTGTACTGAATGCGATATGCAAACTTCGCAGCACAACGCTGCAATCGGCAAACCAGTCCCAGACCACCGACGTCGTGGTTTCTTCACGACGCAGACCCGCAGAGAGCTGGACCCGTTCCCTGGGAACGGCTCTTCATCGTGAGTCGCTATTTGACTGTCCTGGGGCCCAGCGAAGGCCCCTAGAGGCCGAAGACTGCAGTGCGCCAATACTCTTCCACGACGCGAGGTCTGGGGCCGGACCTTGAGGCGCAACGCATGGCACCAAACGGCATCGTTCTTTGCACCACACGCTGCACCACATGGCACCATTGAACACGACCGGCGCCGCACCGCGTGACAGCAGAAGGCACCGCACGGCATCACCTCGCGGGAGAATGAAGATTCGATTTGGGGCACCGTAGAAAGAGGCTGCCAGGACTCAGACAATGTGCCTGATGCTCAAGCTTGCAAGAGAAGAGACATCTCGTACAGGATAAAAATAGAAGCACAGGCTGCACAAGCATCAGCTGCCGAAGGCCCGCGCAGAGATTCTTCTTCGAGCTATGGGGCCCAGCGTGCCTGTCTAAAGTCGGCCACTGCTGCGGGGGGGCCAGATCGGATAACAGATCAGACAGGGCCGCTGGCCCGAGGATGGCCCGTACCGCCTTTGCTTTATACGGTCGGACACTTCTGGATAGCGTGTCGCGCTCCACGGGGCGGGGGGCTCGGGAAAGCTTGGGACGCAGACGCTTGGGGACTGGGCAATGGACCGCGTGTCGCGCCGCACCGCACCGTGGTGAGCCAGAACCAGCAGAGCGAGACGCCATCCCAAAGTTCCCGACCGTCCTCCACACCCCCCGCCAGAAGTCTCTCCGTGGCTGTGTACGCCTCTGGCCACGCGTAGCAGCGCGGGGTGCGGGCAGACCAAGTGGAAAAGGGACCTGCAAGGAAGGCAAAAAAGGACCCCTAACCGTTTGGGAGGGGACCTGAGTTAGGAGGGGACCTGACTAACCAAAAAAGAACCCCTAACCGCCCAGAATCATTATCCCTAATGCGAAGGCGGGGACCTCAGTGAAGCCACGTCCTCATCGTGTTATTCGGGTTAGAGGTTCTTCTGTGCTCCATGATGAGACTCCTCGTCTCGTGCGCTCCCCACGCTCGCTTCCCGACCCCCCGCCTACTTGGCTCCCCGCCGACTTTCAGGTAGTATGCTGCCCTCTTCTTGAGGGTCCACGGCTGCAGGCAGTCCACGATGCCCACGGTGATGAGCTGCCCGACGCCCTGCGCAGGCTCGAAAAAAAGGCCCCCCGAGGCACAACGGAAATAATTGGACCACGGCCTGCGCTCGGCAAGCACCGAGCCGTTTTAAAAATTCTCTCTCGTCGGCGTCTTGTAGCGATACGCGCATCTTCATCCTGATCGCGATCTTGCTCTCGCGAAGCTTCTGCGGTCGTTCCTTCCCCCTCTCTCCCTCTCTTGTTCTATCTCTATATTTATACACATCTGTATACTATATATATATATATATATATATATATATATATACATATATATATATATATATATATAGGAGGTGATGGGGGTGAGATCGAAGTGGAACGGAGAGCCCCCCTACCGGGAAATCGATTTCGGTTTCGTGCTCGTGCGTGCCGTGCGGGCGAGGCGAAGCTGCGTGGGCGGGCGAGAGAAAGTCTCCTGTGGCTGAGGCGCGGCCGGACCAAATGTCTCCCTTCCTGGCGGCCGGGGGCCCGCGGTGTCCCGCCGGTGTCCCGCTGGTGTCCCGTGTGGCTGAGGCGCGGCCGGACCAAATGACTCCCTTCCGGGCGGCTGGGGGCCCGCGGTGTCCCGCCGGTGTCCCGCTGGTGTCCCGTCGGTGTCCCGTCGGTGTCCCGATGACGATGTGGATGATTATGATGATGATGGTGATGATGATGATGATGATGGTGATGATGGCGATGATGATAGTGAAATCGATAGTGAGATCGATTGTGAGATCGATGGTGAGATGGATTGTGAGATCGACTGTGAGACCGAATGTGAGATCGCCTGTGCTATCGATAGTGAAAGCGATAGTGAGACCGAATGTGAGATCGATATTGAGATCGATAGTGAGACCGATAGTGAGATCCACTGTGAGATTGATAGTGACATCGATTGTGAGATCGATTGTGAGATCGATAGTGAGGCCGAATGTGAGATCGATTGTGAGACCGAATGTGCGATCGATTGTGAGATCGATGGTGAGATCGATTGTGAGATCGATAGTGAGATCGATTGTGAGATCGATAGTCATATCGATAGTCATATCGATAGTGAGACCAAATGTGAGATCGATTGTGAGATCGATAGTCAGATCGATTGTGGGACCGATAGTGAGACCGAATGTGAGAACGATTGTGAGATCGATTATGAGATTGATTGTGATATCGACAGTGAGATCGAAAGTGAGATCGATAGTGAGATCGATTGTGAGATCGATTGTGAGATCGATTGTGAGATCGATTGTGAGATCGATCGAATATGATCGATAATGAGACCGAATGTGAGACCGAATGTGAGAGCGATTGTGAGATCGATTGTGAGATCGATAGTGAGATCGATAGTGAGACCGAATGTGAGATCGATTGTGAGATCGACAGTGAGATCGATTGTGAGATCGATAGTCAGATCGTGATATATATATATAGAGAGAAATACCGATCGTGAGATCGATAGCGAGACCGATAGTGAGACCGAATGTGAGATCGATTGTGATATCGATAGTGAGATCCACTGTGAGATTGATAATGCGAGCGATTGTGAAATCGATAGTGAGACCGAATGTGAAACCGAATGTGAGATCGATTGTGAGATCCATTGTGAGATCGATAGTGAGATCGGTAGTGAGACCGAATGTGAGACCGAATGTGAGAGCGATTGTGAGATCGATTGTGAGATCGATAGTGAGATCGATAGTGAGGCCGAATGTGAGACCGAATGTGAGATCGATTGTGAGATCGATTGATTGTGAGATCGATAGTGAGATCGATAGCGAGATCGATAGTGATATCGATAGTGAGATCGATTGTGATATCGATTGTGAGATCGATAGCGAGATCGATCGAGTGAGACGTTGGTTCCTCCCCCCCCCGAACCTCATTATCACCCGAAGGGTGGTCGTATAGGTGTGTGTATATATATACGTATATACTTCTACTATGATTGATTGATTGATTAATTGATTGATTGATTGATTGATTGATTGACTATTGATTGGCTTTCTGACTGTCGCCGTGCTAATGCAGGGTTCCGAGTGGGCCGTCTTCGGGGTCTCTTGAGGCCGTTTTCAGGCCGTCGGCCGTCTTGGGGGCCTCCTGACCCGTCTTGGGGCCCTCTGGGCCGTCTTGGTCCCTCAATGCAGTCTTGAGGGCCTCTTGCAGCTGCTCTGGGACGGTCTGGGGGCCCAATTGGGCTATCTTGGGGCCCTCTTGGGCCGCCTGAAGCCCCTTCGAGGGACCTCGTGGAGCGCTTTGGGGCCGTCTTGGGCCGTCCTGGGCTCGTCTTGGGGCCCTCTTGAGCCATCTTGGCGCGATCTCGGGGGCCTCTTCGGCTGTCCTGCGCGCTCTGGAGACCGAGGAGCCGAGTATTCGAAAATTGCACCGAAACCTCAAACAACCCATGATTTTTGCCTGCCTGGGGCCTCTTGGGAGTCGTCTTCGGGCTCCTTTGAGCCATTTGGAGCCCCTTGGGCCGTCGAATGCCCATCTTGGGCAATCTTGGGCCCGTCGTGGCTGTCTGGGAGGCGCTCGTCGGGCCCTCCTGAAGGCTCCTGCAGCCCTCCGGGTCCGTCTTTGGGCCATCTGGGGCCGTCTTGGGCCCTCCTGGGGCGCTCCGGAAACATGCTCCCCGGCCAGGCACCGAGTTGTGCCAGGTCAGTCTTCTATGTATATATGTACTCCTACCTATACGACCACCCTTCGGGTGATAAGGAGGCTCGGTGGGGGGAACCAACGTCTCACTCGATCGATCTCGCTATCGATCTCACAATCGATATCACAATCGATCTCACTATCGATATCACTATCGATCTCGCTATCGATCTCACTATCGATCTCACAATCAATCGATCTCACAATCGATCTCACATTCGGTCTCACATTCGGCCTCACTATCGATCTCACTATCGATCTCACAATCGATCTCACTATCGGTCTCGCTCGATCGATCTCACTCGATCGATCTCACAATCGATCTCACTCGATCTATTTCATTCGATCGATCTCACAATCGATCTGACGATCGATCTCACAATCGAGTTCACTATCGATCTCACTATCGATCTCACAATCGATCTCACATTCGGTCTCACTATCGATCCCACTATCGATATCACACTCGATCTCTCAATCAACGTCATCATCATCATCATCATCAGAACCATCATCATCATCATCATCATCATAATCATCATCATCATTGGCGGAGTCGTCATCAGCGTCCTCAACATCATCAGCATCATCATCGGGACACCATCATCGTCACCTCACTAGTATCATCATCAACATAATCAGCATCATCACCATCATCATCATGATCGGGGCACCATCATCGTCACCACCATCACTATCAACATCACCATTATTGAGGCACCACCATCATCATCATCGGAACACCACCACCATCATCATCATCATCATCTCATCAGCATCATCATCATAAACAACACCACCACCATCATCATCATCATCATCATCATCATCATCATCATCGGGACACGATCATCATCAGCAACAGCATCATCATCAACATCATCACCATCATCAGGGCACCATCATCATCGTCAGCATCATCATCGAGACACCATCATCATCATCATCATCATCATCATCATCATCATCATCATCGGGACACCAGCATCATCAACATCAGCATCATCACCACCACCATCATCGGGCAAACCTCATCAAAACCATCTTCATCACCCCATCCTCCTCCTCATCATCATCAACATCATCATCATCATCGGGACACCATCATCGTCATCATCACCATCATCAACATCATCACCATCGGGACACAATCATCATCATCATCATCATCAACAGCATCATCATCAATATCATCATCATCATCAGCAGCATCGGGACACCATTATCGTCATCATCTTCACCATCACCATCTCATCATCATCTGCTCCTCATCAGCATCATCAGAACCATCAACATCATTTCATCATCATCGGGACACCATCAACATCATGAGCAACATCATCATCAATATCATCATCATCATCATCATCATCATCATCATCATCATCATCATCATCATCATCATCATCATCGGAACACCACCATCATCACCACCATCACCATCATCATCATCATCAACATCGTCAACACCATCATCATCGGGACACCATCATCATCACCACCATCACCATCATCATCATCATCATCAACATCAACATCGTCGACATCATCATCAGCATCATCATCATCATCATCACCATCATCACCATCATCATCGGGACACCGACGGGACACCGGCGGGACACCGGTGGGACACCGCGTGGCACCAGACGCCGGAAGGGAATCATTTGGTCCAGCCGCGCCTCAGCCACAGCGGGACACCGGCGGGACACCGCGCGGCAACGGTTGCCAGAGGGGAATCATTTGGTCCGGCCGCGCCTCAGCCACAGGAGACTTTCTTCTCGCCCGCCCACGCAGCTTCGCCTCGCCCGCACGCACGGCACGCACGAGCACGAAACCGAAACCGATTTCCTGGTAGGGGGGCTCTCCGTTCCACTTCGATCTCACCCCCTCACCTCCGATCATTAATACGACCATACATGTATTATATATATATATATATATATATATATTAATATGAGTATAAGTATACAAGACTGCATTGGCGCTTCCGGCCATGCACCTTGGTCCTAGAAGTTTGGCATGCAGGCGGAAGGGCAGGAAGGCAAGACAGACATTTTAGTGATACCTCCTTGTTGCCTTTTTCCGACCTCGCCATTGTAACAATGTGTTTCATCATCCTTCCCTCACGTTTCCTCTTCCTCTTCCTCATTTTCGCACTGCCCTGCAAATTGTTCCCCATCCTCCTCAGCTCTTTTTGCGGAGGCTCCTCCTTGGAGAGCTTCCTGGGGGCCTCGCGACAATTTTTAAGGGCTCCTTGGGGCCGTTTGGAGGCCTCCTGGGCGCCTTCTGGGGGCCTCTGGGGGCTTCCTCGGCCTACCCTGCTTCCAACCGCGGTCTCCCTGAACGACCAGGTTACGATTTGGAATGCGTCGGAGGGCACATTGGGGCCACTTTGGGCCGGCATGGGGCTATCTTGAGGCCATCTTGGGGCCCTGTTGTGCCGTCTTGGGGCTCTCTTGGAATGCCTAGAAGCCCTGTCTGATAATTTTGGGGCGATGTTCGAATCTCCTGGACGGTCTCGGACACCCGGAAAACCGAAGGGCAGTCCCAAAATCATGCACAAACATTGCAAACTATATGCTTTACCGCGCTTCGAAAGCCTCTTGGGGGTCTTCTTTGGTCGCCGTCGGGCGTCTGGTGGGTTTCTGTGGCCTCTTGGGGCCCTCGAGGGACCGTTTGACAGCCCTCCTGACCGATTTGGGCACGTTGCCTGGGCCTGGCAGGGGCGTCCAGGAGCTCTGGAAAGCCTGGGGGGCCTCCTGCAGGGGCGTCCAAGGAGCCCCTAGGGCTACAAATCCCGCGGGTCCGTTTTTTTTTGGGGGGGGGGCGGTCTTCCCGACCCCTGGTTCGCAAAAAGTAAGAACAGGACATACATACATACATACATACATACATACATACATACATACATACATACATGCATGCATGCATGCATACATTCATACATTCAGGCATACATACATAAAGATGTGTGTGCGTGAGTACATCCATCAACACATGCATGGACATACATCGTGAAACCTATACACATACATAGAGACAGATAGACAGGCAGGCAGGCAGACAAGCATTTATGCACACATACATACATATACACATACATACATAAGTACGTGCATACATACACCCGTCACCTACATACATACAGATATACATACATACGCACAGACATGCATGCATACACGGTGGTGTGCATGTATACATGCATACATACATGCATGCATGCATGCATGCATGCAAGTATACATGTGTATGGACCTACCACCATACACTCATACAGACATTCATACATACATACATACATGCATGCATACATACATACATGCGTACATGCATACATGTCACACATGCATGCATGCATGCATGTATGCATGTATACATGCATGCTTACAACCGTACACACATGCATACATGCATGTATACAACCATACGTACA